CTCAAAGGAGGAACATATATTGATTTACCTAAACATGTTAAAGATAAAAGAGCGATTATCAATGTGAAAAATAGTGATAATAAATGTTTTAAATATGCATTATTATCCAAGTTTGATAATCGCTCCAACAAAACTAATGTTAAGAAAAAATATTTTAAGATGTTAGAAGTAAAAAGCGGTTTAAATTTTAAATGTATAGATTTTCCAACACCAATTAGTCAGATACCTAAATTTGAACGTATTAACAATATTTCAATAAACATTTATAGTTTAAATGACAAAGAAACAATTTTTCCTTTGTACATTTGTAATACTGAAAGAAATGATCATTTTGATCTATTTTTGTTTAACAATAATGAAACATCACATTATTGTTATATTAAAATTTTTTCAAGATTGATCAGAAGTCAGAAAACGAAAAATTGTTCGAAATTAATTATTTGTAAAAGATGTTTTACAACTTTTGGTACTCAACCGTGTGAAAGTAAGCTTTGGGGTGTAAAAGGATTAGATGAACATCGACGTAATTGTGGGAAGAATCCATTGGGGAGACTTATAATGTTTGAAGATAAAGATGATGATTTCATCTATTTCAAAGGTTATAAAAAAACCCAGAGGATTCCATTTGTAATTTATGCAGATTTTGAATGTTTATTAACTTCTAAACAACCCAATAAATTCATTGAACAATGTAAAAAACAGAAAACTTATGTTACACATTTACATAAAATTATGAGTTATGGGTTTTATGTAAAAGTTGACTACAGCATTATTTCGAAAGAGCTGGTGAAACAGTTTAACATTCCGAGGAAGGTAATAATTTATAGAGGTGAAAAGGCTGCAAAAAAGTTTATGGAAAAAATGATTGAAATCGGAACTAGTATCAATAAAATTTATCAAATTAATACACCAATGATAAAATTAACTGAAAAAGAAGAAGCACATTTTAAAAGAACTAAATTTTGTGAAAAATGTTTAAAACATTTTAAAAACAATAATTTAATCAAAGTTCGAGACCATTGTCATTTTACCGGTAAATATAGACAATGTTTATGTCTTCAGTGTAATTTTGAAATAACTAATCCATCATTTGTTCCGATTTTTTTCCATAACTTGTCGTATGATAGCCACTTTATTATTCGAGAACTTGGTTGTGATGATAGAGATATTCATATTATCCCAAATTCCTCAGAAAAATATATATCATTTAGCAAGGAAATCGCATATAGATTTAGTATAAAATTTGTAGATACATTCCGTTTTATGAGTGAGTCGCTAAGTAAACTTGCAGATAATTTATCTGAAGATAAGTCAAGGTTTAGAGAAACACTTAAAATATTTTCTATGAAGTCATTAGATCTAGTTACACGGAAAGGAGTCTTCCCTTATGAATATGTTGATAGCTGGAGTAAATTAGATAATGCTTTTTTACCATCAAAGCTTGAATTCCATAACTCTTTAACAGATGAGAATATAAGTGATGAAGATTATATACATGCGAAAAAATATGGAATACATTTGGTATCAAGACTTTGGGTGAATATAGCGATCTTTATTTAAAAACTGATGTTACCATACTAGCTGACGTGTTCGAAAATTTTAGAGACATATGAGTAGAGTATATATACCAGTCCTGGCGCAGCACCTTTAATAATAAATATATCAGTAAAAGATCACAAAGAAAACAATGTGCAAAAAGATCAGAAAATTGAAATGCAATAATAATAAAAAAATTTTTCGCAAAAACTTATGAAATGCAATAATAATAAAAATATTTTCCACAAAACTTAATTATTAAAAATAAAAATCGAAATGCAATAATAATAAAAACATTTTTCGCAAAACTTATTAAATACATTTTCACCCCCAAAATATTTTTCATAATACTTATGATATTAATAATTAAAATCGAAATGTAATAATAATTAAAATATTTTTTAATAGAATTGTTCTATTAAAAAAAGTCTAACAACAAACTAGTGAATATTAAATTTCAAACCAATTATTCATTATATGATTCGATAATTCATTATGAATTTTCTTAAAATAATCAAATAATTTCTTAAAATTGTTTTTGTAACGATTGTAACTATACTTATTATCATAAGATTGATATAAAGATGATACATGAGTTTCTAAATTATACATAGATGATTCAATTTCTGATAACTCTTTTAGTATATTTTTATACCTTTGGATCATATCTAAAAGATTTTTACAATTTTCCATTTCTATTATTTATATTAGTAAAAAATTTTTTTTTAACATTGTTCTATTAAAAATATTTTTCTAATCTTTTTGATTTTGATTTCTAATCAGTGTATTGAGATGGTTTACAAAATCGTTTCTATCTATGTTTGTTTTATAATGTCCCCAAGCTAATGTATCAATACCATTTTCCAAAATAAATCTTTTATCATCATAAACACTTAAACCTTTTTTGTTTTGTTCTACAGTAAAAATATCATGTTTCTTGGTTCTAAATAAATGTTGTTTAACATATTTTGATTCTTTTGTTAGTAAACATTTTTCAAAATCATTAAAACATATTTTATTTTCTACAACATTTTTTTTAACACCTTTAGCTTTTTTAATTTCTTTTTCAGTATCTAAGATTCGATGAGAATATAATTTAGATCTTAAACCTATAAATTCAGACATTATTTTTCCATTTAATTCATCTTTAAACTTGCCTAAAACTTTTTTGTTAACTAAAGGTAAACCATAAATATTATCTTTTGGATAATCTGAAGTGTCAAAATGATCTAACATAATTTTCATATCTTGATAAAAATCTTTAGTTTTTATTTCTAATATTAGTGAATCTGTATCTGTATATAACAATCTAACTCTATTTACATATTTTTTCTTTATAATATTATAATAAAAATCATATATTAACATTTTAGATAAATCTAAAATACACATTCCTACATATATTGGTTGTTTGAAAGATATTTGTGTTCTTTTCATATGTACGGCAGCTAAATTTTCTGTAAAAATTGTCCTTCGATCAAAATTTGGTTTTGTAATTAATTTTTCTAGTTGGGCTGCATTAGAACATAATCTTATATCAACATGATTTCGAACATTCATCATAGTACGTCCATAAACACTATTATTCATTAATTTGAAAAATTCTTTTTCAAACTCATTCTTAGCTTCTGATCTAAGATTAGTATTAAAATCAATATAAACTTTTAACCAAGGAGATTGACTAAATTCTAATACTCTATGAATTTTATCTATCTTTAAACCTAAATTAATATATAATTTTAGTGTTTCATAATGTATTATATATTTTTTCTTATCATACAAAGTTTTTAATAATTTTGGGAGTTGTTTGTTATCAAAATGTCTTTCTGGTGCTAAAGGGAAATCTGAATGTAGATCATGAAGTTCTTTAGGGTAAGATAAATCAACTTCTAAAATATAACCTTTACATGATTTATCAGAAATATTCATTACATCAAAATCATTCAGATTATCAATCCATTTGAAATCTCCAGTAGGTAAATATTTACTCATTGCCCAACCATAAAGATTATTTGCATCTAAGTATTCTAAAAATATTGATTCATCCTTTTTTTTAAATTTATCTCCCATGTATTTATTATTTGCTTTTGAATATCTTTGACTACATTGAGATAATCCACCTCTGATTCCAGATTCAAACATCAATAATTGATCAACATCTGTTAATAAATCTAATTTTACATTTGTCATTCTTAACATACAATCCCATGCAAATCCTGGTGTTGTGTAATACCACATAGGATCTAATTTATAATTTTTTAAAGAAATATCTCTAAAATTTTCTATTATATCTGTTAATAATAAAACATCGATCTTATTATATAAACTAGTGAATTCACGCATATTTTGTATATTAAACACTTTCCAAATTTTCTGTGAGTTTTCATATTCCTCTTTAGTTATATTTTTATCTGTGAGAGAACTATAAAATTTTTCAATAGGAGGTAAACATGTTTCATTAAATTTTTCTTTACAATCCATATACTCATAGGGATATGCTAACTTTCTAGTAACTAAATCTAAATGTTCTTCAGGAAAATATTTACTAAGTTCTTTAAATTTATTTTTTAAATTTAATTTCGAATCATTTCTTAAATTATTTGTTAACTTTTCTAAAGAACTAGGTAAAAATTTGAATGAATCTATAAATCTTAATTCTGTACATATTTTTATGTTTTTACCTTTCCTAGTTACTACACGTGACATCATTTTTGAAAAAGAAATATATTTTTCCTCATTATTTGCGAGCAATTTTATTCTTTCATTATCGTTTCCAAATTCTTTTATAAATAGATGAGCATCATAACCTGAAAGATTATGAAAAGCAATTGGAATAAAACGTGGATTTTGGTAGTTAAGATTACAGATAGAATGTGCTGCTCCTCTATATTCTCCAGTTAAATGGTCATGATCCCGAACTTTTCGCATATTTTTATTTTTAATTTCTAATTCTTTTTTAAGTTTATCTTCATTCAATTTAAA